TGCCTCGTTGTGTTCTCCAAATTCTTGGAGTTTTTGTCTAAACTCATTTACGTGTTTACGTGCAGGCCACCGGGAAGACGTGAGGAAAACAACAAAAAGAACAAGAAACTGAAAAAGGGCATGAAGAAGAAGAATGGCAGATTTGGGTGCTGTGACTGGTTTCTAAAAGGGGAATATGCTTGAAGAATGTGGCTGCTAAAAATGAAAAGTGCTGAAGTGGGGGTTTTAAAGTGATGTAATATCCCATTTTGAAAGGGTTTTAGGGGTAGTTTTGGGCGGGTAGTTAAAAAAATGGGGGGAATATGAATTTTTTTTGGTGTTTTGGATTGTAAAGTACACTTTTTCCACTTTCTCCCAATGATTGCAAATAGTGACCTTTACTTTATGTTCCATCCGCCACTTTCTCTTCTTTCTTATCCTCATCCCCTTATTTTTAAAGCAAGGGTAAATTAGACATTTCAAAGCCTTTTTTCACTCCTCTTAAAAATAAGGAAAAGTCAAAGTGGGACTATCATTCCCGGACGGAGGGAGTAAGTTGTAAGTAGTTAAGTACCAATGAAATAAATAAAATCATTTCCTTATTTTATACGTGTGTAATCAAATAAAATTTTGAAATGGTAAGTAAAACCAAAAAGGTGTGTAATCAAATAAAATTTTGAAATGGTAAGTAAAACCAAAAAGGTGTGTAATAAATTAAAATGTTAAAATGGTAAACAACACAAAAAACATAATGTATATTTATAAATTAAGATGTAACACGTGTATAAAAACGGTAACTAAATGTTGAAAAAAATTAGCCGCTATAGGGAATAGAATAAGAAAAAAAATTCTTTATACACATGTAATTAAAAAAAATCTGAAAAAGAATTTAAATTAGAATAAGCAAAAAACTTTTCATAGTATAAATAGGATCATTTTGCAAACACTTTTGTATGTTGTAGTTTCAAGAATAATAAATTGTAGTAGTTTGAAGATTCTGATATGCACCGAAAATAATGTTCTCTCAAATTGTACGAATAATGTAGTTTATAAAGAAGTCTTTCGAAATTAGTAAAGCAAAAATCTTGTGCAGCGCAGGAGTGTAGTGCAAAAATATCATTTTCTATCATTAGAAAACAATCTTAATTTAGTAACGTAAAGATGTAACACGTGTATAAAAACGGTAACTAAATGTTGAAAAAAATTAGCCGCTATAGGGAATAGAATAAGAAAAAAAATTCTTTATACACATGTAATTTAAAAAAATCTGAAAAAGAAATTAGAATAAGCAAAAAACTTTTCATAGTATAAATAAGATCATTTTGCAAACACTTTTGCAACTGTATGTTGTAGTTTCAAGAGTAACAAATTGTAGTAGTTTGAAGATTCTGATATGCAACGAAGATAATGTTCTCTCATATTGTACGAATAATGTAGTTTATAAAGAAGTCTTTCGAAATTAGTAAAGCAAAAATCTTGTGCAGAGCATGAGTGTAGCGCAAAAATATCATTTTCTATCATTAGAAAATAATCTTAATTTAGTAACGTAAATATGACCTGTGCAGCGCAGGAGTGTGATACTAATTAAATACAAAAAGTAGATAACTACTAAATGAATTTTTGAATAGACGAAATGATAAGGGGAAAAATGTTACTAGTAGTAAAGAAAGGATATACTCCGTTTTTATTTCAAAATTAGATATGGATAAATCGAGTGACAGTGACAAAAATTTTACCTGCATCTAATTTTGATTATAATTTTATTTTTCATAATTTTGGTTTATTTATGCATTTTCATTGAGTAATTGATAAAATAAAGTATTCTTATCACCTCTTATTTTGTACTACGTATAACTTTTTATGTAGTTTAATTTTCAAATAAATAATTTTTATTTATTGATGTACCAATTTGTAAATAAAATAATTTCATAAATCATTAGATTTTACCATATAATTCCCATTTTATAATCAAAATAGGGATGTAGGAAGTAATATTTTTGCTCACCCCTAAACAACATTCCCTAGTGCCCAATCTAAGGAGGGTTAGATGTACACTGCCTAATTTGAAGGTTTAAATAGAGAACACATATTTACATTACCTTATGGGACCAAAGGTTCACCATTTTTTTGGATAAATTTCACTCATGGTATACGGACTTTCATCATTATTTCACTTCTATATATAAAATATAATTCCTATCACAAAAGTACACGAACTTTCAACATTCTTTCACCGGTAGTCCAATAGGTGGTTTTTAAGTCACCTTAAGGTTATTTGGGGTCAAATTATAATTTTATAAATTTAAATTTTATGATTTTGATTACTTTTCTTTTTGTCTCTTGGTTCTCCACCCTTTTCTTCATCTTCTTCAAGACCCC